CGGCCGCTCCCTCGGGCGTGTCGCCAACGAGCACCGCACTCATCGCTTCTCGCTGCCCGCCGACGCGCTGCGCGGGAACGGCGACGGCCAGAATCAGCTGTCCATTAAACTGAAGCCAGTCAAGTCTGAGGCGCAGAAGGACGCCGCTGCCTACGCCTATGCAGTGCCGTCGACGGCGCACTTTGGCTCGTTCGCGGAGCACAAGGGTTTCATCCGCAAGGCCGGCTCCGACTTTGGCTGGTGCGTGGCAGACTGACCAGTGCCTTGCGCTACCTTACAGCCGGCCGCCACGGCAAGCTTCAATGCATGTCTGGCGCTACCCCGCCCTGGCCAGGGCGGCCTGCACCGCCACGCGCCACTTATGCGAGGCGACCATGTCGACGCACCTCGCCATCCCTGCGAAATGGACTGCCCACGCAAACCCTTCCTTGCTGTTTGTCATGCAGGGATTGGGGCCCTGCTCTCGGCCCCGTCGGAATCCACGGCGCTGTTTATCTCATCTCCTCTGCCCCCGCCAGCTCTGATCCCGACGCGCGTCCCGTCGCCGCTGGGTCGGGCTCATACCTCCAGGCAACCCACCTCCGCCAGCTGCACCAGGGCGCCGCCGGCCCCGTCCGCCTGACCGCGCACATGGTCGTAGCGCGGCCGGCCACCGGCGGCGACGACGCAGCCGCTCTGATCGTGCCTACGGGGTCGGCCAGGCTTCAGATCCCCGAGCTTGGGGTTGACGTGTCGCAGCAGTTTTCAGGTGGTGATGGCGCGTTTGACCAGGGCGGCGCCTGCCGGCGCGTTGCGGGTGACAACGCTGGGGCCCGGGTTGAGTGCGACATCTTCCTGCAGGTGGGGTTGTAAAATTAGCGCGCGTCCATTGCATGTCGTCAGTACAATGCGAAAGCCGTGGCCGCGATTTGCCCTTGTACTTGAGCATGAAATTTCACCAAAGTATCCACTTCCCTCAGGCAACTACAAGCAGCATATTCTCGTGCAAAGTCGACTGAGACTTTGCTATCACCCTGAAGCAATCCTTTTGCCAAATGTTCTCCAGGTCGACATTCCCAAGAGCAACATCGAGCTGTGGTGGCCCGCTGGCCATGGGCCCCAGAAGCTGTACGACGCCGTCGCCACCTGGCACCCAGCCGGCGGCCTTGGCAGCTGCTCAGATGCGCACATCATCAACACCGACGACCCCGCCGGGATCGAGGACGCCAGCAGCCTCACCGTCACGGCTCAGGCAGAGGCTGCGCCGCTCGCGCTGCAGGCTTTTGGCTGCTCCGAGGCGAAGAGGCAGGTGGGGTTCCGGACTGTTGAGCTGGTGACTGTCCCGCTGGCAGAGGCGGCCAAGGAGCTGGCACCTGGCACAAAGCCTGCGACTGGGGACGGAACTGAGGGTAAGCCACCGAGCGGGGTGGGGTGGGGGGTGGTTGAGCGCAACTGCGACGCGGCAAGTCCAGCTGTAGTGGACGTTGAGACACACGCCCCTGCATCGCCTCTGCTGCATGGGAATATGGTCCAGGGCACTGCTTTGCTGCATGCCTGAGATAAACGCTTGGCCTGCACCAGCATTGACATTGCTGACAACCCCATCCCCGTCTCCCTGCAAACATGTTGAAACAATATAAAAACCTCACCACCCTGCAACTTACCGTTCACCGTTTGCAACCACCAACAAGGTCTGCAATAAGCATGACATTTGAATCCCCTGACATGGATCCACACACCTGGCATCCCTTTCCGTCACCTCCCCAGGCGAGAGCATGTACCTGCGCGTCAACGGCGTGCCCATCTTCCTCAAGGGCGCCAACCTGATCCCCTTCCACGCCGTGCGCACACAAGTCACCCCTGAGATGATGATGAGCGTCCTCAAGTCGGCCACAGATGGTGAGTTGCATGCCCTGGGTCTGGCCAGGTGCTGCTCAACTGCGATGCGTGGACCTGTGACGTAATGCTAAGTGCGTTGTGACGACTCCATAGAAGCAAGATCGTTGTGGGGACCCTCGGTCGTGCGCGTTGCAAGCGTGCGGCAGCCTTGTTTGTTGTGCGTCAGGGGCTCCCTGGAGCTCCCACATCGCAAGTGCAACGCCCCCCCTTTGCGCCCCGCGCTCGCCACCCTGCGCAGCCCACTTCAACACGCTGCGCGTGTGGGGGGGCGGCATCTACCAGACCAATGCCTTCTACTCTGCCTGCGACAGGATGGGCCTGCTGCTCTGGCAGGAGGCAATGTTTGCGTGAGCACCACCAGCGGCAGACGATAGTTGCAGTCGGCGGCTTGCATAAGCCGGGTCAGCCAGCAGCACGCAAAATTGATTACTGCAAGGGATATTTGCAAGAGATCCCAAACAGCGGTGCTAGATCCGGCAAAGGCCCTTTTTGCCACATGCATCTTCCCTCAAATGCTGCTTTTGCCGAGCAGCACCACAAAATTATGCCCAACCATCACTGATCCACCCCACCCATTCCGTCATCCATGTCCCTCTCAACCGGGCCGCTCAGGTGCGCCCTGTACCCGGCCGACCCCGAGTTCCTCTCTGACGTACGCCAGGAGATCCAGGAGCAGGTGCTGCGCATCGGCCACCACCCCTCCATCGCGCTGTGGGGAGGCAACAATGAAAACGAGTGGTCCCTCACATGGTGCGCCCGTCACACGCTGCCAGGGCTCGCTCGGCTTGTCGACAACAATGGGTTATCAGTATACCTCCCATGGGGCAACCCTGTTGGGTGTCACTGAGCGCCTGCTAACAGCGGCGCGCCGTTTCACAGATGTGTATGCGATGTTTGCGCGCCCTCACTTTGATGCAAACCCTCCCAATTCCACAGGTACGACGAGTCATTGCAGAACCGCCAGTTCTACCAGAAGGATTACGTTAAGCTTTACTTCAACACCGTGGCGAGCGAGATTGTCAAGGTGTGTATCAACCTCCCAATGCACTATTGATTGCATGCCTGCAAGGGAAGGACAGCATGCACGGCTTGCTCCAGGATGCGTGTGGTGACGCCTCAGCAGCTGAGATGATTGGCATCTGACAAATGCACTTTACGCTCGCTCACCCGTTCTGCTCCCTGACGTGAAACACTCCCCTCTCGCCTCTCACCTTTGCAGCTTGACCCGGAGCGCCCCATTGTCGACTCTTCCCCCACCAACGGGCCCTTCTACACTGGTGCTACTGCAGAGGGGCAGCTGCCCACCAGCCTGAGCAAGGTTCTTGAGACCAAGCGCTGGGGCGACGCCAACGCGGCCAAGTGGGGAGACGGTGGGTAGCTCTACAGCAAGCACAGGCAGCTTTCGCGCGAGGGGCACAGCTGAGGGGATGTTGTGATCAGCGATTGTATTTGTAGAAGCCTGGATAGAGCTGATGTTGCTAAAAGTTCTACAGTGGATGTTGCATTGCATGCAGGATTCGCGTAGCACCACGGTCAAATTGTACAAGTGCGCTCCTCTATTTCCTTCCGCCAGCTTGCCGGTCGTTGCTCACCACCTGCACCCTCCTCAGGCCCACCTGTCCCCTGTGTCACCCCCGGCGCTGCGCCCCCTTGCCCCACGCACACACAGTGCACCACTATGACTACTGGCACGACTGCACGGCCCCCGGTCTGGTCCCCGCGGCCCGCATGATGTCGGAGTTTGGCTGGCAGAGCGAGGCCCCCTTTTTCTCAATGAAGGCCGTCACCCAGCCCGAGGACTGGGGCACCTGGTGCGGCTCCTTCATCGTAGTGCCTGCGCTTGCTGTTCCAACATCTTCGATTGCCCGCTCACGTTGCCAGCATCGCTGCACGATGAGAGCACGGTGGCATAGCTCTCGACTCTGTTGGTAAGCAAGTGTGCGGCGAGCCCTGTCACTGTCACAGCGTGCGAGGGCATCCGCCGATGGCTGTTTCAGGAGTGCCGGTCCACTCTGGCTGGATTCGGCAGGGCCCCTGGTGCCAAGTACCGCCAGCGCTGGCAGGATCACGGCATTAAGATGAAGACCGACCAGATGGGCATCGTGTTTGGAGGCCTGCCCTCCCACAACTTTACGTCCGAGGTCGCCTCCACGCGCGCACAGCTCTACTCTGACTGGATCTACCTGGCCCAGGTGAGCTTGGCGGAAGGCGACCGGTCACTTTCTGCTGCGCAGGTCCTGATGGCAGGACCATCAGCACACGTTGGGCCAATGCATCCTCGCGCTCCTGCTAGTGTGCCCGGCCGCCACATTTTGCTGGCTTGCGCCCCTCCAGCAAGAGACTTGGGCCTAATGAATCTGGCGGTCATCGGTCCACCCACCCGTCCCCACTCACAATCTCGCACGCATGTAGCTGCGAGTAAACTCCTGCCCATCAATCCCCTCTGCCCGCACCCCGCAGGTGTGGCAGACTGTGTGCTATGATCACACCATTTCTCTGGCGCGCCGCTCCATGCATGACCCGGCCAAGCTGTCCATGGGCACCCTCTATTGGCAGCTCAATGACGTTTGGCAGGTGCGGCTAGGGTGGGGGGTCTGTGATGTGAGTAGATTGGGTTTGCACTGGTTACACACGAGCAGTGGCAAGCTGCTGTCTCAGCTTTCCACCCATGATAAAAGCCGCAGGCTTGTGACTGACTTGCCGCTGGCCACTCCAAACATGCAATCCACCTCCTGTTAGTACAAACACCAAACCACCACCATCACCGCCACCACCACCACCACCACCACCGCAGGGCCCCAGCTGGTCGAGCTTTGACTACATGGGCCGCTGGAAGTACCTCCACCACGCGCTGGAGCGCACCTACGCGCCCCTGCAGCTGCAGGCCTTCGTGCGTCCCGAGGACGACACCGCCGCCGTACTCCTTGCGTACGACGAGGCCAAGCCCCTGCCAGGGACCGTCGCCGTGGATATCTACCTGCAGGCCCTCTCCGCCGGCGGCGCCGGCGCGAGCGGTGGCGACGCGACCGCAGATGCGGCGCCGACGTGCCTTGGGGGCGCAGCGGCACGGGCAGGGTCGCGGCGGCTGGTGGGATCGTTTGAAATCGAGGCGGGAAGCCTGATTGGCGCAGAGCCTGCCTGGAAGATGAGTATGGAGGAGCTGCTTGCCAAGTTGCCTGGCTGCAGCCGCACCAGCTGCTATCTGCGCGCCGTGGCGCGCGAGGTCGAGGGTGGTGCCAAGGAGGCTGGCAGGCGCGGCGGTGCCAAGGGGATGCTGCTTGGGGCTGCTGGCGAGGACAATGCGGGGCAGGTACAGGTGAGACGTGTTTCTGGGCACAAGGGTGATGGCTTGGAGGTGGTAGGGGCACAAGGAGGGGGACAAGCCACCATATTAAAGGGCGGTTTCAGAAAACTTGAAGTTTGTCTCACCTGCACAATTGCCAATGCAGTGCTCACTTACTCTGCTGAGAGTGCAAGCTGCCTGACCAAGCAAGTGCAGAGTTTTTCTGAAGCGCTTGGGGTGTGCCCCTTTCCCTCGGCCCACATCAATTGGCTCACATTCAACTCTGTCCCTGTCCCAATCCTCGCGCTCATGCACTTTGTCAACAATGCACCCTTGCAGGAGGCCGTCGCGTTCTTCTCTAAGCTCAACGCACTCAACCTGCCAGAGGTCAGCGTGCGCCCCCACTCCTTCACACAAACTGGCCCCAAGACCGTCGACTTCAAGATCACAGCTTCTGGCGGCACCGCCGTCCACGCGTTTTGGGACGCCTCGCCCGTGGGCCGCTTCAGCATCAACGCCGTCCCGGCGCTGCAGCCGTGCAAGACGGTGGCGCTGCGGTTCGAGGCTGTCGAGGAGGTCAAGGCGTCGGATCTGGCTGACAGCCTGACAGTGTGGACGATGAATGGCGCGCTGCAGGGCAAGCAGCGGCCGGCGCTGGGTGCAATCTGAGCGAGGCGTGGCGGCCTCCCGCGGGCTGCTTGGAATGTGCCCCCTTGATCATCCAGGACGACACGCATCCGCTCAACGAATAGAACCCACAAGTACTGACTACGTGCGGCACCCCAAGACCTCATTTTCAGGTCATCTATCTCATCACATCTGAGACAAGCCAATGCACCAGGAATAGATGCAACAGCAGTATGGGCGGCAATGATCAGGCGTTGGAGCTGGCTATGTGGGCTTGAGTTGAGGCAAGGCAACATGCAGCGACCCCAGCACTGGTTAGCAAAGGCTGGGGGCAGCCACACTTGATGGGTGCCACTTGAGACCACTCAGATTTATCAGCAGCTTTCATGATTTGTTGGCATTACTAACACTAACCTATTCATGGCAATTAGCAGCACCTCGTTGCTCGATCTGTGATTGGCACGGCCACTTTCAAGGGTCTAGCCACGAGGGCTCAAACCCCAGAAACAATGTGTGGAGGGGATTTCCAGGTGGCCCAAAGGATCAAGACAGACTGTGACTGGCTGCAGCTACGGGCATCAGCTACGCAGCTACGGACGCGCCTTGTGCGTTGATGTGCTTGCCCATTAACCGCATTTTGCTGCATTTGTGTGTTTCCTTCAGGTCGTGGCCGAAGCGTCTTCGCGGTGGGGATGTCTGTTTTACAACTGATTCTCTGCATGAGAACTGGAAATTTCGAGTACCTGAGCACACGTGCGAACGCAGCCACAGTGGTGCACGCTTTTTGACACACTGGTGCGGTCAAGGCTGGGTACCATACCCTGATGAGCAGTCAACTGTAAGCCATCTCGACAGCTGGCTCAAACCACATGCAGGCTGTGATGTAAATATTCCCAAAATGAACGCATTAATGAGTAGATGACAGACTCCGTGTACGGGCGTATTCACAAAGCGCCTGTGCATTGCACGATCTGGTCACACGGTATGATCGGACTTGTCGCTTGGTGCCTGTTTTATTTGATCGCGTCACCACACTGCGTTCATAAAAGTCTTTCACATTCTCTTGGTCATATTCGTGTCCTGATCGTGACACCATTTTTTGCAAGATCCACAGATTGCGCCATCACATTGAGAGTGCGGCTCGCTCATTCAGCAAAGATCCACAGAGGCAGCCTGCGTGCAATTGAACTGGGGCGCAGCACACTCATGGCGCCCGACCAGGCCAGCACACCTGAGGCCACGGTGCCAGGCCCAGCACTGCGCATCAAGCCACTGGGCGGCTCGACCCTGGAGGTTCCCATTGTGTGCCTTGGGACGGTGAGCGCCTAGGATGCGAGCAAGCCTTTGAATCATGCAAATCGAAACAGTCTTCGCCGCAGCTGGCTGCGGGCCTGCTGCAACAGCACTGCCAGCTCGCGAAGCCTTGCCTCCTGCTGTGCTGCGCCGCGCGCAGATGACCTTCGGCAAGCAAAACTCGGAAGAGGTGCGCCGCATGGCGACTCTTGCACATCCCGCCGTTCCATGGGCGGCTCTGGCAGCGCGCATGGCGGCATCGGTGTCAGCCGAACGGGGCGCAGCCGCAGCCGTGGGGCTGTGTGTGCCTGGCAATTTGTTGCTCGTCCGCTTGCTCTTGCCTGTTTTTGGAGCCCCCGCCTGCAAGTTCTGCCAGGCATAGGCTGGCACGCCTACGACGTATGAAGTCAAAACGCTGGGTGCTATCAACATGCGCCGCCCTCTGCTCCCTCCCAAACCCTGATCAACAGGAGTCCTTTGCCCTCCTGGACTATGCCTTTGAGCGGGGCGTCAACTTCCTCGACACCGCTGAGCTGTGAGTTGGGAAGCTGCCGAGAAGCCGCACAAGGCCGGTTCCGCAGCGGCGTCCCGCGATCTTTCGAGGGCGACAAGCTGTGAGGGCTTTTGCATGTGCATGGCGCTGCGGCTGATCGTGCCTCCAAGGGCCCGCAAGCCCTTCAATCTTGCAGCAGCTCATCCATCGGTCCCTCCCCCCAGCTGCTTGCCCCCCTTCAGGCCTTCGCCTCAACCCCTCAGCCTCGACATGCCGATTTTGTTACAGGTACCCCGTTCCCCCGAGCCCAGCGACATCTGCTGACACCGAGCGCATCATCGGGCGCTGGATGAAAGCCCGCAGCATCCCCCGCGACAAGGTGCAACACAGGGCGCCTGCACGGGCGCTGGGATGGGCGTGGACATGGGGTCCCCTCTCTTGGTTGACAGCCAGGCGCAGGGATTAGTTAGGGCCTGTCAGCCCAACTGTTGATGGCTGTGGGATTGGGTACGAGCGCCTGCCTGGCTGGTGAAGGTTTGGAGTGACAGACCGAGCGACCAGGGTGGGGGTGCTTCCTGTCGGCGTGCCCGCACGCCCTGCGCACAGCAGCATTCCTGCTGCTGGGGTGTCACGCGTCATCAAGCTGGCTGAGCAAAACTTGCGTGGGCCTGCACATAAGGAAACGGATCCACTTTTTGCTCTGCTTCATCCGTAATGCATCTGAGAGCCCACATTCATCCTCACTTTGCAAACAACCCTGCTTCTCCAGATCATAATCACTACCAAGGTGGCTGGGGAAATCCCTGGCCTGGACAGAAGCTTCATTGTAGCCGCCAGGTCAGTCAAATAGGAACGCGCACTTGTGGGGATGAGCGTGGCACATCAGGGATGCTGCTGGCGAAGGCATGAAGCCTGCCCCAACGCCATACGGCGCCGGATTCTTCCCGCTGGCAAACAGCATGGTGCACCGCCAAACGCGGCAGCAGCTGCAGTCTGAGGCGCCTGCAACCCAATCGTTACATCATGATGCATGCGCGACGCAGGAGCGAAACCCCAGCTGAGGCTGCGTCACAGCCGCAGCCCAAGCTGCGTGCCGCGGAGATCCGCGATGCGTGCGAGGCGAGCCTGAGGCGGCTGCAGACAGACTATATCGACATATACCTCATCCACTGGTGAGATGCAGTGCTGTGTTCTGGGGTCGTGGCCTAGGACCGGCCAGTGCGTGCGTGGATTGCCTGCAGCCCTTGCTGGTGTAGGCGTTTGGACAGAGGCCGCCTGTGTGCTGGCAATGGTATCCAGGCGTCAGGCATGCTGCATGCACCTGAGTGGCACGTCAGCGCGTGCTGTAATGGCCGTCAAAGTGCCTGCACACTTCCGTGTCGCCGCCTGACCACTCGGCACTCCTCGATGCCCCCAGGCCCGCGCGCTACGCGCCGTGCTTTGGCAAGCGGCGCTACCGGCCGGAGTTGGAGCGCGAGTCCCCCTCAGTGGAGGAGCAGGTGGAGGCCATAGGGCAGCTCATCCAGGTGCGGCTTGATCCTGTTAGCAGGGAAGATGGCGGCCGGGGCGAGCAGTGGGGGATTGTGAAGCGGCGATGTGCATGGCAAGCGATGCAAAGGAAGTGCGGCGGGCCTGGCAGCCAGCGGTCTGCGGGCGAGGCACGGGGGCGAGCGATGCAGATGTCTCGTAGGTCCCCCTGCCTGCCTGCCTGCTTGCGTGCCAGCTCGCGTGTTGGAACCAAAGCGTAGGTGCATTGGCCTGTCATGCTGCCCTCGCAAACCGCCTGAGCGAGTGGTGCTGGCGCCAGTACGGACCCAGGGTGTCGGCTCTGCTGCCATGCAAGTGCCGTCAGCGCAACCCTCGCATTCCTGCGACGGCCGCACTGCCTCATGTGCGCGGCCAAGTGCAGGAGGGCAAGATCAAGGAGTGGGGGGTCTCCAACGAGACGACGTTTGGGGTGTGCACCATCTGCGAGGCGGCCAGGAAGCTCGGGGTCAAGCCGCCCGTCGCCATCCAGAACGACGGTGCGTCGGGCCTGCGCATGCTGTTCCACAAGCGCATGCGCAAAATGTGCTTCGCTTTGCACGCATGGCCCTCTTGCCTGCCTTGCTGCAATCTCGTTTAGTGTGGGCCCTTTTCGGGCAAGCAATGCAATCGGCCCCCTTCTCACCCTCACTCCCGCACACTGCACATGCAGTGAGCCTGGTGCTGCGGTCGTACGAGGGCGAGCTGGCAGAGGCCTGCGCGCCGCGCAACAACAACATAGGGTGGGCAGCGGACAGCCGCCTGCTGCTCCGCATCTTGAGACAGACGGGCGCCGGCCGGCTCATGTTTCACCCTTGCACTTTGCGTTTATGACTGCTTGAGCTTCTGGTCTGTGCTGCAAGCTAGGCTTGGCATTCAACCAATAGCACCACAGTCCGCGGCCTGCTTTTAACCAGGTGGGGACAAAAGGTCAAAATTTTTAATATCCCCACCCTCATGCGGCCAATCCAATTACTGCTGCCCCGATCAATCCCCCCCCACACACCTCAGCCTGCTGGCGTACGGCTGCCTGGCGGGCGGCACCCTGACCGGCAAATACCGCGGCGGCGTGCGCCCGGAGAAGAGCCGGCACACAATTTTCCCAGGTGAGCCGGCCGGAGGGGTGCACGTGGTGGTGATTCGCCCCATTTGTGGGTGTGCGGTGAGGTTGGGCTGACGTCGAATCTGGACAGGCAGGGACTGCCCATCATCTGTTGCGCAAACGCCGCTGCCTTTCCTGGCTTGGACCCCGCTGCATCAGGGTGTCCACATTGCAGCGCTCAAGCGTGTGCTGCCCTGACCAACTTTGACCCTGTCCATGGTTGTGAGTCCCTTTATCCTACCGTCCTGTGACCTTGACCGCAACCCCCCATTTTCTCACCTCCAAGGCTTCCAGCCGCGCTACCTCTCTGACCGGGTGGCGGCGGCGACCGAGCGCTACGCTGAGCTGGCGGAGTCGAAGGGCCTCACGCCGACGCAGCTCGCGCTGTCGTGGGCTGCGACGCGCTGGTGCGCGGCCGCGATGAGAGGCGACGGAGCGCACCGCGCGCCGACTAAGCTCGTACCGCGGGCGCGGTCTGCTGATACAGTAGTGTTTGCGGCTAGCCTGGCGCGAATCCGCAAGACTCGCAGGCCCTGGAGCGCCGAAATGGCACAAAATTCCGCCCTAAGGGTCACCATGACGCACCCATGTTTGACGCG